GTCCCGTCGCCACAGCTCCTGTACCACCGCTGAGCGGCCGGGTCACCGGCTCGGCTCCTCAGCGAAAACCTGAATATGCACTGCATCTGCTGCCTACTTATACTCACGCTGTGATCAGCAGCAGCTGGATGCAATAATCGCATGCCAATGTGCATTGGCTCGTTTAGTTTACACTCGAAGTAGATTGGTCTCTCTAAGCGAGATCCCAATTCGTCGGTCATCCGACGTGACGTCTCCGTTCCCTCCTTCAGGGAACGAGGGTTACCATATGTAACCGAGACGATTCTAATCTCAATCTCATCTCTGCCACTGTGAAGCTTGTTTCTGCATTTCAGAGCAACGTGTTTGAGAATCCGTCTGATCAGTCTAAAAAGTTAATATCGCAGTAGTGCAATTAACATTTAGAACAAATGAAAAAATTGTGTCAAAGTGTCTACACAAGCAATTATAAAATTCAGTCCATCATAATATACCCATGAAAAAAGTTTCTAGTTTCTGAATAAAGATTCTAACAAATCCAGGAAAGTGAGTTTTTGGGTTAATATTTACGTCCTGCACTCTCATAACCTCACGGGCAGCAAATATCAAGCAGAGTATAAAACTTGAGCACTTAGAATGCAGTGACTTTGTATCTGATACTAAAACACTGCCTGCGGCAGAAACAGGGGAGACCAGCCAGTGCACAGAACAATCCAACAGGTTGGTCAGTTGCCAGGAAGGAAATGGGAAAGCTGAAAGGTTTGTAATTCTCAAACAAGGTGGAGGTACACTAAATTCCCTGATTAAGAGATTAAGGAGGGAATTAACTAAGAATAAATTATGCCTGCTGATTACTGTGTTTATTTGCACATTCAGACTGTGCTGTTTTGGCACCCAATTTCCTAAATTAATTATGTAAATCAGGTATCGTTGCTAACAAAATGTGTGCTGTGCACAATTTGCACAGTGAAATTTCCCTCCTAACATGCCGGTTTAGAGTGCGTGGTTGTAAAGGATGCAGCAGACTAACGCGATTTGTTATACTTTGACTGAACAGCATCACACTTCCATTGTGATCCAAACATTTGAATCAGCTCTTTAAAATGACAGAAGTGCAGATGACTACAAATGTCAGAAAAATAGTTAACCACAGACACCACAGCATAAATGAGCATACTTTATTTCCTCTGCTCACATTGATATGTATACTACTGTCCTAAAGTTTGTCCTAAAGATGTTTTATGTTTTAGAGAGAAGTCTCTTATGCTCACAAAGGCTGCATTTATTTGATAGTAAAATGGTAACATTGTGACATACAGCGGATGAATAAGTATTGAATGCGTCACCATTTTTCTCACTAAATGTATTTCTAAAGATACTGTTGACATGAAATTGTCACCAGATGTTGATAACAACCCAAGTAATCCATACATACAAAGAAAACAAAACAAATAAGTTAAGAAATTAAGTTATGCGTAATAAAATTGAATGACACAGGGAAAAAGTATTGAACTACTGAAATGTATTTAATACTTCGTACAAAAGCCTTTGTTGGTAATGACAGCTTCAAGACACCTCCTGTATGGATAGTCGCATGCATTGCTCAGGTGTGATTTTGGCCCATTCTTCCACAGAGTCTTCAAATCTTGAAGGTTCTGTGGGCCTCTTCTATGAACTCTGATCTTTAGTTCTTATTTTCTATTGGATTCAAGTCAGGTGATTGGCTGGGCATTCTAGCATTCTAGCACATAACTTAATTTCTCAACTTATTTGTTTTGTTTTCTTTGTATGTATGGATTACTTGGGTTGTTACCGACATCTGGTGAAAATTGTCAATGTCAACAGCACCTTTATAAGTATATTTTATATATTTATACGTGTTCAATACTTATTTTACCCGCTGTATTATTACAACTTAAAATAACTGTTTTCCATTTAAATATTTTAAAGTCACTTATTCCTGTGATAGCAAAGGTGAATTTTCAGCAGTCTTTACTCCAGTCTTCAGTGTCACATAATCCTTCAGAAAACATAACATGCTGATTTGCTGCTCAAGAAATATGTCTTATTATTACCAATGTTGAAAACAGCTTCTTAATGTTTCTTGTTGACAGTGAATAAATTTTTTTCCTGGATTCTTTGATAAATAGAACGTTTAAAAGAACAACATTTATTTGAAATATTTTTTTTTTATAATAATGTAAAAGTCTTTTGATCAATTTAAATATTTTAATAGTATTAATTTATATGATAACAAAAAATCTTATTGACCCCTAACTTTTGAACGGTACAGTATCTAACCATGTCTCCTATATTGTAATCATCTGATGAAATTAGCATGTAAGAATTAATCTAAAATGACCTCAGGCCAAATGAAATACAAAGTCAAATTCTTGTGAGGCTGCAGTACAAAGGGAACAATTCAAAAGACATATGTGACCTCTAACAAAACTTACATGACGTTAACATATTCCTACTTGATTTAAAATTAAATAAATTATTTTGCAATATGTCTGTGAAATGACACTTTCAAGCTATAACTAACATATGAAGACATGCTTTTTTCTTTTACATCTATGTTAGTATGAAGTCTTTCTATTGAAAAGAAAGACCCCTAGAGGGAAATGATAAATGTGGTCTTAATAATAAGAAGAGCTTGAGACAGAGATAACAGCCATTGAAGGTTATAAATGCTTTTAAATAGAGGCCCCTAAATCTAAACCTGAGAGACTGATAGCTGGGCTACCATGACTAAATAACTAAACACATGAATAAGCTTTAATCAATAGTTTTATATTGTATCATCATTGTGGATTTGATTATATTAATGGTCAACCATACGCAGACCAATCTTGTACCATTATCCTTTCCAAATTCTGTTCAAATTTGTCTGTGCTTAAAATCAGATGTTGTAATGTGATTCATTTAGAGCCATGGGTTGGTTCAAGACTTACTGAAAAATGTTTTGAAATGTCTATATGGAGAAAATGAATGGAAAAAATCCTTCCAGAACCCAGGCTGCTGGAAAAGCGAACCATCTCGGTTGCGCTCTATCATATTGCTTGTCAAGGCTTTACAGAAAGACTTTTGTTCTCAATTCAGAAATTTTCCACTGACCCCCTGGCTATTTGAGATGGACCCCGGTTGGAGAAATGCTGACTTAGATAAAAGTTCCAATAAATTCTTACTTAAGACTTAAGACTTAAGACTTAAGATCCATAATGAATGTAAGTGGTCTTTCATGGCTGCCTGATGAAGTCTAAAAATTCTCTCTGTGGGACTGAGGTCACATCTCTGTTTGAGTAGTGGCGAAGACACAGGAAACCACAAATGAGGACACTAAATCGATTCATTACACACAAAGATGAGGGAGAGGAAGAAGTTGAAAAGGCAATTTTTCAAAATTCGATGGGAGAAAAGCCATAGACCCAGATAGGCTAGACAGATGTAGGAGAAGGAGGATGGGCGTCTCCTCGCTGTCTCTTGGTCGACTCAGCATGTTTGAAAGCAATCAACAGAAACTTCAAGAGGCCTTTTTGCTGTGGAGTATCTCCAAACAGAGGAAAAAGAGCTGACTTTCAGTGTATTTGAAAAGGCTGGGAAGTAATTGGTTCATTTAAACAGCTCCAAAACCTGTCAATGGGATTTATATGCATTTTAATGTGAGTGGTTTGTTTGACCTTAGAAGTCCCTGGAAAAGCAGCATAATTAGTTTTTTTGATTGGTTAATGGAGGGAAACTTTGCGACAGATGTAAAAGATAATGTTGTTTGTGACTCCCACCTGTATTTTAATTCGCTAAAACAAACTGCCCGGCAATATAAGACTTTATTTGCATTAAGTTCCTAAGCCAGTCTAATGAATGTCGGCAAATAAATTTTTCACTTGGAGTCTTAGTCAATATTGACGTGTGCTTGCAGGCATGTAAAATGTCTGCTTGACTGAACATGTCAGCATACAGAGACCAAACCATTTAACAGACTAAAAGAACCAAGATCATTAAAAAAGTTCCCAATAAAAGGCTATGAGTAACAGCAGCTTTGTTTTCACTAAAATCAATGGACATACAAATAAATGACTCCCAATCGAAACGTGCACCTAAAAGCAACTGAGACACTGATAACCTGATGATTTTGATGCTGTTTGACTGAGCACATCACTGGCAGATCCTTGAGATGTGCTCCTTTTGGTCAAAACGTCTCTGACGTTACTGCAGTTTGTGAGGCTATTCTTGCTTCTGCAGCACTGCAATTGTCTTGATTAATTAGAATACTTAATTTGTCATTAAGCTTGATTAATTCCATTAATCTATTAAGCCTAAAGTCATTCTGTGATGCCACTGGTATTGATTATTCCATTGGGGCAACCATTGCAGAAGCTCACAGTTCACCATGGCAACTGACGTTTGAATGTGCTAAGATGTGTCTCACATTCGCTCAATTTCTGTGATTGCACTGGAGCATTTATTCAGTAATCTCAGGATATTAATCACTTTTAACACCTCATGAGCTAGAAAATTATTCAGATGTGATGGCATTCCCTGCATCATGAACAACAGTTCATGTCCCCTGAAAAAATGGCACAGCCTACCTATTACAGAGCTGTCTATCAAACATAACAAAATAAATTATATCAAAAAGGGGTGGGTGGGGTGGGGGGTGGAATGCTTCTAGTAAGTTATAATGTTAAGTGTTGTGTTGGAGTGTTGAAGAACAACCCAACTGTGACCCAGTGGAAATAGAACCTGCTATTTTGAATGAAGAAATTATATGTGCGATGCAGCAATTATCAAACAAGGACCCTGGGTTTGACTGTATCCAAGCGGAATTGCTGAGGCCAGTTGACCTATCGGTAAGCCCCGCCCCCTTAGTTACTGTTGCTCCCTCGGACAAACAAATGGAGCTGCTCACTGTCTTGCAATGACAGCTGATCAGATCACAATGCATGCGGGAGAAGCCTCGTGTTACGGTCGTCACAATCGCAGATGACAACATGCAGGATCAACACTGTTCATGTATCACAGGGTATGATTAACACTAGAACCGCCACGGGGTAAATTCTACCCGTGGCTGTTTTTCAGATGTACGTATCAGATTTAAAATAAAACATTCAAGTCTCCCAGTCATTGACTTTTACTAAAATTATGTAATTTACCATTCACTGTTGTTAAAAATTATTTAGATACAACCAGATCAAAAAACGGGGCATTTATACCTATAAGTGCCAGCGGGTCAAATTTACATGCTATATAATGCATGTATTTTCACGCTGTCATTTTCTTGCCGCTTATGTTTTAACATATTATTTAATTTTTGTCTTGCCATATCGTTTATTGTTCGCTACTGTGTTGCTATTCTAGTCTGGCCGTTTCCTGAAGATAAAACCCCCCGATCTATATGATGTAATGAATAAAACCATTTTTTTGATTACCCAAAGTTTAATGGTGTCGTTCTCTTATTCAAATCATAAATGATATAACTAAACAAATTAATAAATATTTAGGTGAAGCTGTGCACTTGAATTTTTCATCGCATCATCCTATGCAGTGTGGTGAATTATTATTGCTCATTATTGTCTATAGGCTGTTTTAGTCATTCATAGCATGGGTTATCTTAATATATTGATTAATGACATTGTATTATAATATTAAACCACCCAAATATTTAGGCTACTACCTTCTAATTGTCACTGTCAGTGCAGACTTTTTTTTTTTTTTTTTAAGTTTCTTTTTGCCTAGCAAGGCTGCATTTATGATCAAAAAATACAGTAAAAACAGTAATATTGTGGAATTTTTCTACTGAAGAAACAAAGTCACCTACATCTTGGATGCCCTGGGGGTAAGCAGATAAACATCACATTTTCATATTTGGGTGAACTATCCCTTTAAATAAATTTTCATCTAACCAGTTTAATATGGAGAGGCACTGAAATGTAGACCTTAGTTTATGTGTTTTTGACCTACACTGTACACGACGTGAGAACAGTTAGCTCTTTAGGTTTGTACGGTAGCATTGACTCACTAACTTCAACGTTAGCTAGTTTTAGCCAGAGATACCTTGCTGAAGCACAAGATGACATTAATGC